TTCCTCTCTCCCTTCTCCTCCCATCTCCAAAGAAGAAGCCATTCTCCAAGCCAAGACTTGTCTCTCTTCTTGCCTCACCAAACCCCTCAACAACCCCAAGCTCGCTTCCCCCAAGCTCAAGAAACTCAAACAGCCACGGTTCCGTCTCGAGATCCCGATCCTCGACGACGACTCACCTTCCTCCCTCTCTCAGCTCGCGTTCTCGATCTTTAACGACATGCCCATCTCGAGAAGAGGCTCCAACGTCGTCAAGCTCCTCTTCCTCTGGCCAGACACTTCGTTCATCGAACCTGCAGTTAAAACTTTCCCTTCTTCTTCCGACAATACAAACCACATAACAATCTCTCCTGTTTCAGACTCCCTCAACAAAGCCTTAAAATCTGCTGACGTGGCGGTTTTCATGGCACCCGAGAGATCACAGCTTGAGGACGTGAGGCTATCCACGGAACGTTTCGCCACGAAGCCTGTGGTGATGATAAATCCGAGATGGTTGTTCGAGGAAGAGAAGAGGTTTGGAGATGAAGGCTTCATCGGTTCTTTTGATGTGATTTACGCGTTTACGGGTTTGGAAGTGAGAGGGATACTGAGTAAGAGGAAAGGAGTGATCTTCAAGTGTGTGAGAGACGGTGTTGTGAGTGGTGAGAGATGGAATGTTTTGGTTGAAGAGGAAGAAGGTGATGGGAGTTTGAAAGTGGTTTCGCAGTTTAAAGCTAGGCCGTCTATGGAGGAAGTTGAGCTTGTTTTGTATAATTTGATGGCTATGAATTCGCCTATTACTAAATCAGCTAAGTTTCTTAAGGATTTGGTTTCTAATATCACTGGGAAGAAGTAGTTTGTTAGTGAGAAATGTGTAGTGTTCTGTGTTTCACTTTCCATGGGATTAAGAGAGATCGGTGTTTTTGATAAAAAAAAATGTAACTCATTAACCATCTAAGAAGAAAGAATGTCGCAGTTTATTGAATCAGAGATATTTGCTCAATCCTCCTTAGCTTCTATGTTCGTTATAAGCCTTGTGTCTTCTCATTTAACCTATCACTCTTTAGATTCTTAACGCATGCTTTCGATCTTGAGCTAGAGCAGGACTCAGATTTGATCTTGCAGGGGACTAAATTATATACATTTTTATGAGAATTCAAAGAATTTAGTACAAGTTCAAGATCGATCAATTGTAAGACCAGCTAGACATTCTGTTTTTTTTTTTGTTGTTGTTTGGTAACAACAAAAATCCCTGTCAGAAAGTATATGTTGATTCAGACCAGTGGCTTCTACAAATTCTTGAGTCAAATGCCCCCTTCATCTTGTAACAACTTAAAAAACTAAAAGCAATACAATTGGAACTTGTTACCAGTAAACACAATACACACGTTGTGGGAAACCAAGAATACAAGTAACAAAACTTATTACCAGTAGGCATCTTTGGTACCAGATCAAGCAAAGTCACAAACTTCTCTGAATCAAAACGATCCCAAACCTTTTGTGGGTTCCATTGAATCGATAATCAAAAGATAAGACACAAAAGATTAATTGTGGTTTCTTAATCAAAATTTTCACAAAGTTAGCATCTTTGATCCTTAATCGGATAAGCAAAGACGCAAGATTTCTGAATCTGAACTCTCACAAACTTAGGTTTAATAGTTTAAATTCTTTTGTGGATTCGTTTTTAAATAGAGAATCAAACATAACACACCATATATAAAGAACACATAATTTCATTAAAAACGAGAACGACTCTACACCGTAGTCTTAACGTAACAAAAGAGAGAGAAAAAAAAACAAACCCCTAATCTAAATCCAACCCTACACATTAAAATCATCCCCAAACAACAACACAAAAACTAAAAAATCTACTCATCATCACCGGAAGGCTTGGAAGCACCACCACCAGCCTTCTTCGGAAGAAGAAGGTTATGAATATTCGGCATCACACCACCATTAGCAATCGTCACATCCCCAAGCAACTTACTCAACTCCTCATCATTCCTCACCGCCAACTGAATATGACGTGGCACGATCCTAGTCTTCTTGTTGTCCCTCGCTGCGTTCCCCGCCAATTCTAGAACCTACACAANGAAGCACCACCACCAGCCTTCTTCGGAAGAAGAAGGTTATGAATATTCGGCATCACACCACCATTAGCAATCGTCACATCCCCAAGCAACTTACTCAACTCCTCATCATTCCTCACCGCCAACTGAATATGACGTGGCACGATCCTAGTCTTCTTGTTGTCCCTCGCTGCGTTCCCCGCCAATTCTAGAACCTACACAAACACAAACATCCAATTTCAACAATTACCCAAACCGGTCAAAATTAGGGTTTTACGAAAATTAAAACAAAATTAAGGCTAATTTACTTCTGCGGCGAGGTATTCGAGGACGGCGGCTAAGTAGACCGGAGCTCCGGCACCAACACGCTCGGCGTATTTGCCGTTTTTGAGGAATCTGGCGATACGACCGACGGGGAATTGGAGACCGGCTTTGCTGCTCCTTGACGTCGCTTTCTTGGCGACTCCAGATCCGAGGGTTTTTCCACGGCCAGCCATTGGTTTTTTTTGCGGTAGAAAGACGAGGCAATGAAAAAAATTGAAAGCGAAGCGTACGAAAATTATACAGTGGACACAAACTCTCATGGATTTATATATACTACTAATGCGTATAAACGGCAGAGTCATTTTCGTCCAATAAGAAACAATCACGCGGATCGCTGTGAATGCCGTTGGATCAGAATTAGGATCAACGGTTAGTAATAAACTCTCAATCATATGATGTTCCATTGTAGAGTATCAAAAGAAATTTGGTGTTTGGCTCCTACAGCTTTTGCTACCTTGAAGAAAATCAGAATACTCTGCTTCAGAATAACAAGCTTATGTTATATCTTCTGTAACTATGGATAACAGCCAATTAATGAATTTCTTCATAGGGTGAAAAATATGGAAGATGAGGAATGGCATTCTCTTCCAACAAAATAGAGATCACATCATTCACGTAATGCATGGTGTAATAAGAGATTACAAACTATGGAAACAAGCAGATGAAGAAGAAAAGACATCAAGGACCTCAAAGAAGTACTAAAAGAAATGTAACAGATATTCTAGAGGTAATTCCTACAACGGCACTTTATTACTGTTTAGTTGATGCTTCATGGAAAAATGAAAAAGAGGAAGGAGCTATTGGATGGTCCTTATATAGCAAAGAAGGCATTCATTGTCTCCAAGGAGCCTCTTCTATAACTGAAAAAAACCCTCAAGACAGTTCGTACCACAGACGCTTCTCCCATGGTACATGACATATGCCTTTCATTTTGTACCTAGATCACTACTAAGAAATGTAGATATAATGGCCAAGTTAGCTAGAAAGAGAAAACAAAAACATGTAATCACTTGGCATGCTTAATCATATATAAGGTTGACAAAAAATGAGAGAGAGAGAGTTTATGTACCTTCTTTTACCCTTTTTTAGAGTTTCTGTACCTTGTTGTCGACCAAAAACAAAATATTTTTTTTAAAAAAAATTAAATAAATATATTTTTAAATTTATGCTAAATTTTAAAATTATTTTTAAGTTAGATTATTTGATATTTAATGTATCAAAAAAGTAAATGTTTTAGATAAAATCAATTATCAGAAGAAAAAAAATAAATGTTTTAGATAAAATCAATTATCAGAAGAAAAAAAAAGTAAATGTTTTAGATATAATTTTATAAAATATTTTGATTTATGATATTATTTAAGCCATAAATTTACATAAATTATTTAAATATGACTATTTTTAGTTATTTATATTATATACTGACCTGATTTAGAGTTAAAATTATTAGTATATTTTATTTTAGTAAATTTTTTATCAATTAATATCAACATTAATTTACTGAATATGTTTCCAAATCCACATGCTTCATACGTGCGAAGTTCTTGACTGAACTAGAGATTTTATCATTGTGTATTTTGAATTTGTTAAAAAAATTATTTTATAACTAATATGTATTATTTTGTTTGAGTATGCTCTTATTTTAAAAGATTTTTACTAGTCATAATTTTACCAGTTTTGACAAAAAAATTGCATTTATTTTTGTTTAGTTTTCTGCTATAAATTAAGAATATAACTTTCTAATTTTTGTTAATTTTTATCACAACACTTTTTATTATAAATTAGACTTGCAATTTATAAAATCAGGAAAATAAGTGATCTCACTAACACCATGAAAATAAGGAATGTAATTTTTCATTTCGTTTCTTTTTCTATACCACTATTCTCCACATATCTCTGAAATTTCTTGCAGTTTTAGTTTATACCTACTGTACACTACTGTGCTTGAATATGCTTTTATTTTAAAAATATTTTTATTAGTTATATTTTTACCCGTTGTGACAAAAAAATTGCATAATTCTTGCTTAATTTTCTAATATAAATTAGGATTATTACTTTCTGATTTTTTTAATATTTATCATAACACTTTTTTATATACTCTCTTTGTTTACTTTAGTGTCGTTTTAAGTTGCTCATACAGATTAAAAAATATTTGATCTTATATATTTTCAATATAAATAAACTATTACTTATATACCTAGTCACATTACAACCAATAATAAAAATAGAAAATCATGTAAACATTATAAATTCAACATGAAAACTATAAAAAACACTTATTTTGAATTTAAAAAAAAATTATTGAAAATGATAAATAAATTGAAACGGAGGAAGTATTATATTTGTAATCTAAAAAACCAGGAAAATGAGTAGTCTGACTAAACCTTAAAATATGGAATGTAATTTTGCATTCTTTTTTACACTTTAATCTCCACTTATCTCTAAAATTTGTTATTTTTAGTTTTATAACTACTATGTAAATTTTTTTTGAATATGTCTTTATTCTTTAAAAATACTATTAGTTATATTTTAAAAAGTTTGACAAAAATTTGCATAATTTCTTGTTTAGTTACATGCTATACATTAGGAGTATAACTTTCTAATTTCCTTTTTTTTAATCTTTATTACAGCACTTTTGTTATTATAAATTATATTTTCAATTTTAAAACAAATTAAAATAAGTAGTACTACTAGCAACTTCAAAGAAAAACTTAATTATGCATTCTTTTTCTATACTGTTAATCTCCACTTATCTCTTCAATTTGTTAATTCCTAGCTTTGTAGTTAATATGTACAATTTTGTTTGAATACGTCTTTATTTTAAATAGATTTTTAATAATTTGATGATTTTTTTGCATAATTTATTGTTTATTTTTCTGCTATAAATTAATAATATAATTTGCTAATTCTTGTATTGTTATTATGAATTAGATTTTCAATCTATAAAACTAGGAAAAATAGTATTCCGACTAACATAGAATGTAGTTTTGCTTTCTTTTTATGTACTGTTAAATTCCACTTGTCTCTGGCTTTCTTTATAATAAGATTAATATTTTTTTGTATTTGAAGTTATATTTTAGTTTCTTTATAAAGTTCAAATAATGTAAATGGAGGAACTAAATACGATCTTATTAATGATGTTGAAGCGAGTAATAATTTCCGGTCATTGTTTTGATTGGTTTTTAAACAAATATATATGTAGTTAACTAATTAAATTGATTTTTTAAAATTTATATATTATGGGATTGTTGTTTGTGGCGAACACAATTTTTTGTTCTTTAGTTCTTAATAACTGTCAAAAAGAAATTGTTTATCCATTTCATATAAGATAGCCACATAATTGTGGACATGTGATATTTATTCTTTGAAACTTCATTTTGATGTATTAAATTAGCTTCTTTGGTTACATTAATAAAGAATTTCAATGTGTACATCATACCAAATTTCATAACTATAAATGTATTAAGATTGATAAATCTAATTAATCAGGTGAAATAAATAAAGTAAAGAGCCTATTTGTAAGGCGTATTATACTTCTTAAGAAACTAAAAATGAAAAAATAAATAAAGAGCACTAAAGCCAAAATTAAATTCATAGAATTATAAATTTAACAATTGTTTTAGATAAAGTTTTAAAAGTTTAATATAAATATATTTAGATGCTAACTAAAGTTATTAATTAACTAATGTGTATTTAGTATTTTATCCACCTTTCCCACATCCTATATATAGTTTTAAAGATTAAAATTAAAGTAAATTTTA